AAGTAATGCATTTTCTGGACCATGCTTTCCTAGCTGACTGATAAGAAAAGACAGCATCCAAAAGCTTACTTCAGAAACAAGGAAGTAGCCACCATTGTTTCCTTCCCTTTGTCTCTCTCTTTAAAGACAATCTAAATATAACTTCTGGTTTCATTTCCACAAGATGTTTTACTATTTGTCACGCAGTAATAAGGAAAGACTCCTTGCCCAAAAATGCCAACTTTCTGTGGGATCTGCAATGCAGAGAATTGCTCTCTTTGCAGCTGCCACTGACTTTCCTCTAACAATACATAAGCCTTTCAAAAGTTGCAAGATATGCAAGGGCTTAAGCATTTCTTCCCTTCATACATGCAGATTAATGCAAAATTTCAGCTTAAAATGGTATGTTAAATTTCAATAGAACTAGAACTGCAAAAGAAGCTGGAGATTTCTATATTCCTGCAAAATTGCCCGCAGCAGAAACTCAAATCTGTGTGATTTCCAAGACATTTCTACAGTGCCTGCCTAGGTTAGAGCCTGAGATGCAAGATAAAAACTGTTTTGGCTTTAGCAGCTTCCAACTACAAATAATACCTGCTAACACTGAGGCAAATTTCTATTACAGTTGTTTCTTAGCCTGCAATGAGATATCAGTGATGTAACAGGACAATTAAATGATATAAGACTAAAAAAAAAAAGTACATTTAACTCCTAGAGCCTGGTTTCTTAAGGAACCTTCTCCTTAGGTAGGAGAGAATTGAACTAAAAGGAAATATTTGCTAAAAATGCTTAGTTAACTGTAATAAAACTATTTTTTAAAAATCATCTCATACTATATGACTTCACATACAAAACTGCAAAACTGAGAAAACCAAAATTCACACGTTCTAAAATTTGTCTCAGTACTATACAGTCAGATCTCACTGAGATTAAGACTGCAGTAAAAATACTGGAATTTAGTGGAAATTTACAGATCTGAATGACTGAAGGTTATGTGCCAAAAGAACTGAATTAAGAATATGGGGAATATCTGTTATACTAAAAAATGAAATCTCTCCTGCTCATCCCTTGTTTTGGTTTCTGCTCTCTATGATGGGCATGTTAACTGCAAAGCAAATACAAGATTCAGTGTATAGAAGCTATCCTCTCGACTAAGAATTTTCAAATCTCCCAGTGAAAAATAAAAAAAATTACTGGGAAGAGAGCATGATGAGCCTGATAAATACATCTAAATGTAGTATCTACTTTCTTCAGTTACCAAACTAGTTTTCATTAGCAGTTTATAAAAAAACTTCATTAACAGAAAATTGGGGAGCTTTTCGTTTCAGAGACAGCCAACATCATACCTATGACCCACCAAAAAGTCCTTCAAACTAACGATAATCTGTAGTGCATTCTCACTGTTTTGGGAATGGAGAACAGAAGAGGTGGCTAGTCCACCTTTTCAATTTTGTTATGGCTATTAAGCCTTCAAACTGCAACACACTGCAAGCCTAAAAAGTGTGAAAATTTAATTTTCTATTGTGTGTCAAATAACACATGCTTCAGAGTTCTGCATGGTTTTTTGTGATCTTCTCACAGGAAATTCCCCTATCCCTCCCCCAATACAATTAATGCTTTTAAACAAACAGTGCAGGTAGCTTACCAATAAGTTGCTACCCCACACTTTGCCATGACTGAAGCTTGACGCTTGTTTAGCAAGAAAGAAGCCCTCCATTCTCTTCAGGGTTAGCAAAGAGTTAACTTCCCAACTGGAGAAGGTTCAGTCTGAGTGTCCTTGCTTCACAGTAGGATAGTGACAGATTCCAGGAAAAACGCAGCCAAGTAAGGAAAACACTTCGGTCAAGCAAATATATTAGGCAAACCTCAATGTCAAAAGCACAAAGACTGGAATAGCAGAAGCCTGCACTGCAAGCTTAAAGCCTAGTTACTTTATCAGAAGTATTTTTCCTTACATAGAAACCATAAAAAGTCTTGAGAGGTAAAAGAAGTTGGTTCCTCAATAGCTTGAAAGTTAAAAGTCAGCCTTGCATCAACACAGTTAAAAAATAAGTCTGTACTTGAGGCTACAAAGCACTATGTAACTAATAAGTTACAGCATGTTGAAACTGAAGATAAAAGGAAACCTTGTAAATATAAAATCTTACAATTAAAAGCTAGATAATTGTCTGTCTTCACACACAATAAGCAAGGAAAACATCCAACTCGGATGTTATTCTCTGTGTCACTATTATCATCAAGATGTTGCTATACTCAAGATTAATGAATTCAGAAGCGTAAATAAAAACTATTTTGAGGACATCCTTTCTGTTGTACTGCTTAGAAAGACCTCTTCATAGATTCACTGATTTCATTATCATTTCTTACTACACATGTCAAATACTTCTACTGGAATACAAAATCACCCCATAAGTTAACAGAACAACACATTTCTCTAATAAAAGGACATGAATTTTATATGTGCGTGTTTTAAACACCTGAATTTCAGCATCAATTTTGTATTAAACAGAAAATACAACCTAAATTTGTTCTCTACAAAAAAAAAAAAAAAAAAAAAAAGGGATTTCCACAGAGATAAAAACATGAAGGAGTAGGGAAAAGAAAAAAGTCAAACCCATGAGAACACAAGAGCTACATTTACAGGAACATAGCCATTTACAAAATGCCTTTTTTTTAATGGTTGCCTTTCAAGCTGTGCCAACACTACAACAAACATAAAAGATCTGCCTCTCTAGCACATTTAGAAGAATAAGCAATTACTACATTAGAGAAAATAGGCTCAGAAATTTCCACCAATTGGTAATTAGCAGCAAAGCAACTATTTACGTGCCAAACCCGAAAAAGCCCTTGGGCAGCAACCTCTACATATACCAGCAATGAACAAACAAATAAAAAAAAAAAAAAAAAACAACTATTACCTCAAACTGGGGTCAGTCCTTCACTTTGGGGAAAAAGAAACAAACAAACAAAAAAACCCAGAACTCTCCATCTTCCTAGATTTGGACTGGAAGGCTTTTTTGAAAGGGTGTTTAAAGCCATAGGTCTCTCTGGGGCACTACATTTCATGACCACTTAAAACATGATTTCACTATGGTTGTACAAGCAAAAGGCTCCTTCCCAAAGTCTACAGTAAAGCAAAAGTCCTTTCTTCCAAATGAAAGGGAGATCTCCACATTTATTCACTACTACTACTACTGCTGCCGCTGAAAATGTTTGCACAGAGAGTCAGCTGTAAGGAACAGCTATCTGCAGGCTGTTCCCAGTGAGAACTAGGGATTTCTCAATCCTGCTTGAGAACACTTCTACATCTGCAGTCCAAGTTGGATCATTGCCTTTACCACAGAAAGCAAAGGAGGAGGTACTGCAGCAATAAGGAATTTCATTTTGGTGCATTCCCAGTGATTGGTCATTCTCACCATGGACTGAAGACAGCCATTATCCACCATGAATGATGGTAACACGCAAGCAGTGTATGCGAGATTTAATGTTAATTACTTTTATTGTTCTCTGATGCACTACTGCATCTTCGACATCAATGCAGATCAGTTAATTTCTACTGCATTAACAATGCAAAAGAAGAGGTGAATGTGAACTGAGTCTCCTTTCCTGACTCGTTTGAGAAGATTAAAAGCATCTCATCCAAGACAGTAACAGAGGACTTCATGGCCAGAAGAGATTAACTCCTGCATAATAAATATCCTCAAAACCATTTTATTATGAATTAAATTAAACATGACTGAAAAAACGTTTCAGATGTTCCTAGGAAGGATTCTGTCTTATGAAGTAGTGTTAACAAACCTCATTTAAAATCAAACCTATTAGAAGAACTAAAGACCATATTATAGTGCTGCCACCAAATACTGAAGTCAACAGCCTCAGTGATGCATTTACCTTGCTACATTTAATACTAAAATCCAGAAGTTATTCTTTTCATGTATTTAATTATAAGAAGTGTATCCAAGCACACAGAACATAAACAGAGACAGTTCTCATATTGAGGTCATCTAAGTGCACTTGTTCTGCAATACATTTCCTAGCAGCCTGCACCACAAAAAGGTGTTTTTTAGGTAGTCTGTAGGATTACAACCATTATAAAAGCCTTGACAATAAAAATTCCTGCATTTCTGAACACAACTGAAACTTTTACAAATAGTTCATGCAAATATATAGGCATGTAAGTGTACAGAAATATCTGTATAATTCAGGTACCCAATAACAAATGGGATCTACTTTGCAGCCTGTGTTGCTCTATTACTAAAGTCACAATGCTGTCAGAGTTCCACATCAGTGTTGAATAAAAGTGTCGAGTATCAAAGTCCTGTTCCACAAAGGGCTGAGTCATTAACCTGACTGACCAACAGCAAATGTTTCCCTGACACTTTAAATTGGTGCAGCACAACACTCTGTGGGACACACTGTATTTCTGCAGGAGAATACTGACCTACTGAACCATTAATCATGGTAGCGTGTTTTTGCAGTGGTAAAACTAAATGCAAAAAGGAAAGTTGCAGAGATGTGACCACCCTCCCAGAATTACTCATTTCAGATGAAATTCTACACCTCAGATCACGTCAGTTACTGCTACCTGAGTAGTAATCTATGGAAGTGAAATAGAAGGAATCATCAATATTTTTCTTCTACTAGTCAGCACTATCTAGTAGCCTGAAAAGAAGACTCTGCTTCTGAGAACACATAGGTATTTTAACAAGTTTTCTTTCAAACATTTCAAATAAATTGCATTACTAAAGCAAAAGGCACTGTTTTAGCAATGCAACAGGGTTGGTACAAAAATATGTTTATTTCTACTTAGAATATAAAGATCCACTTATTTTGCATTATAAACAATCCTAATTTTGTTGTATATATTAATATTTCAAAACAATTTTTCAAAGTTGATGTTTTATAACTGTCCTTATTCAAAAGCAGGTTAAAGCATACACAGTAAGAAAAACTCAAGTTATGAAAACAAAGCAGTTAGATTAACTCAGCTATGAGATGGTCATAGCAGTTTATTCTCCTACCTGCTTTCCATCCAGAGTACAAAGTCTCTTGACTACACCAGAGTCTAACTTAATGGCTTCGGTGATGTCATTCAAGACCTGTTCAAAGGAGTGAGCAGTCTTCTTATTCAGCAGAATTCTCACAGCTTTACGTGGTTTTACTCCACTCCTAATAACAGTCACTAATTTGGGTTTAATGAAATCTTTACTCTCCTTCACTTCACTCTTCGTGGATGTCAAAGACGTCAAGGATCGACTGGACCCAGTCCTTATGTTCACACACCAGTTCGGATTGACATTCTTGGTGTAATCAACTTTGCGATATGGTTCATTGGATGCACATACATAACTTTCACCTGCAAAAGAAGATGACATTTTCACAATTTAAGGAGGTTTGCAACTACTTTTTGTCAATCTGAAAACAAACGAACAAATTTTTCAGGAGTCATTTTCCTGTATTTCAACTACAGGTCATTTTAAAAGAAGGACTGTAAATTATCAGAGCTTTCCACCCAAACAATACTCTCATAGAGTGGTTTCAACAGGTTGCAAAAGACCTCTGGTTAAGAATTAAAACAACAAATAGTAAGGGGTAATGAGGAGGTTGAAGATATTTCATGTTTCTTTTGGATTCTGAGTAATTCTGCAAGTGCTTAAATTACTTGAATTCACAATACATGACGTTAGGAGCATTTTCCTATAGCAAATATCCAGGTCCTTCCCTTTATATTCCTCAGTCATATACTTCAAGGTATGTACACACATATATGAGTTTATCTTAAAAATAGCAACTTTTAACAGAATAAAATTCAAACATCTCAAGATCCATACCCTGAAAGACACATAAATTTACCAGGACTTACTGCCCTTCTACCAAAGATACACTGTTGAAATATATTCACTTCTGGATTTTTAGACCTACAAACACCTGTTGAGGTTACAAATGAGTCTTTGAGACTACAGCAGTATAATAGGACATTCCCATTTTTAATTTCTTATCTAATTCAGTCTCCATTGTTGAAGTCACAAAAGGGAGGTCAGAGGACAAAAAGATGTTATCACAGGCTAGTAATGCACACCATCATATCAAATTACTAATGGCAGCAATCATGATGCACACTGGTTACTTTTCTCCATTTCTTGACACAACGCAAAGCTGGAAGCTAATTTAAAAAAAAAAAAAAAAAAAAAAAAAGGCAGTTTTCTCTTCAAACTGCTGCTTGTTGTTTACCATAACTCATAACATCTGACAGCAGTATTCAAGATATAAACCATGACAAAGAACATCTTTAAGTATGGGTTATTCATGTAAACCATATCCTCAGGGTCTCACCAAATGACATCCCAAGACTTCCTCAAAGAGGGTAAGCTTCGCCAGAAGGATGAAAGGTTAAGCATTCCAAACTGACAGAATACACCACTCCTCCAGTCAAAAGAACTACCTATATCTTAAAAAGCTTAGCCTGTTCTAAGATTAAACTTACATGCTAAAGGTCACTGGTGGAACAAACCAAACTCATCTCTTACACACAGAGCAAGATGAGTCAAGAGTAAACATACATCTATTGGACAGTATTGTATGAGTCACAAAATGTATACTCATGTTTAGATACATACTAGAAAACCTTTAAACAGTACTTTTACTTTCTGAACTCTAGTTTGGAGAGTTGATTTATCTTAGAAGTTGTATAGCTTTTTCTAAAAGCAAGATGCTAAACTACTTTCAAAGTCTTGAAGAATTACTGTGAGTTGAAAGACCTTTCTATTCCTTTTCCAACTAATTACACTGCTTTCTAATTTATCTTGTATTTAAACCTTCTTGAAAGTCTACTTGCTGTATTTGAAAGAACACAGATTACACTGAAGTCAAGTGAACAATGACTTTGTTTGGGAAAGTCTGGCAGCCAGTTCTGCCTCCACAGATGTCACTAGGACTGCACTCCACCAAGGTGCTAAGAAAAAATTTGGTGTGAGGTTCTGTGGATGCCACTGCCTTGCCTGTATTCTTCCTCTTCACTCATCCCCATCATTCCTCCTCATATTCATAGATCAAGTGGTGCACAAAATAGAAACCAATACAGGTAAAACCAGACTCCTCTTTCCCCAAAAAATTAGCCAAGAGAACATGTTTTCAGCCCATAAACCCCTTGAATAGCAGCTTGCATGCTGCGTGCACACTAGCACTAATTTACAAGTAAAGGGGAACAAAAAACCCCAAGCTTCACACAGCTTTGTAAAGACTGTGGTGATCTAGAAGCCTATGCTGCCCCAGAGTTGCACGCTAGGTAGTTCTCTTCAGACAGCTCTTTCGCTCATCTATCATGTTACTGCAAAACAGCATGAGATATTCAAGTTTTGCTACAGCAGCTCAGCTGCAATAGAAAGCAAAGGTTTCCTCCACTACATCCACTAGATTCAAAAGGCTACACTTGTTTTCGGAACAGTTTCTAACAAGCCATGAAGCTGTCTTTCTCTAAACACAGTGCTGCCAAATAAGCAGCACCTCAAAGAAGCTGGTAGTTCTAATTCATGCCAATTGACTTCCTAATTATACCTACTGGTCATTGTGTTGTTCTCCCCTCTGCAACTACTTTACTGTATGGCATAGAACCCCGGTAGGGCTTAACCCCAGATGGCAACTAAGCATTACAGCTGCTCACTCACTCCTCTCCGTGGGATGAAAGAGAGGAAATCAGAAGGGTAAAATAAAACTCAGAGATTGAAATAGAGACAGTTTAATAGGTAAAGCAAAAGCCATGCATGCAAGCAAAGTAAAACAAGGAGTTCATTCACCCCCTCCCATGGGCAGGCAAGCATGCAGCCACCTCCAGGAAAGCCGGGCTCCATCATGCATAACAGTGACTTGGGAAGACAAACACTGTAACTGTAACTCCAAACATTACCCCTCTTCCTTCTTCTTACCCCAGATTTACAGGCTGAGCACGAAGTTACATGGTCTGGAATATCCCTCGGGTCAGCTGTCCCAGTTGTATCCCCTCCCAAATTCATTTCCCCTGAGCCGACCCACTGCTGGGATGGTGTGAGAAGCAGAAAAGGCCATGGCTCTGTGTAAGCATTGCTCAGCAATAACAAAAACATCCATGTGTTATCCACACCGTTTCCAGCACAAATCCAAAACATTGCCCATACTAGCTACTAGGAAAAAAGTTAACTCTATCGCAGTCAAAACCAGCACAAAATCTCAGGACACTTCTTTTCCATGATTACACACTAAACTTTTTATGGATGCACCTAGTGAGTGATTTGGTTTTGTGTTTGTGTGTTTGTTAAGAATGCCAATTATTATTTAAATGAACAGAAGGTAGTTTAATAATTACTCTGGATGCTTGATATCAGACATTCAACCATGTAAAGTCCCTGAGCACTTGCTTTGAAGTTTATTGAGCTGTATAAGACTTTGGCAATATTCAATCATACTCTGATAATAATTTATACATAAATAAACCTGACAGCATCCTATACCTGCAAATACATCTCTAAATGTGCTGAGTGCCCATAGCATCTTAAAGACTTTACATCAGTTTCAGCACATGAAGTCACCTTTCACTTCAGAGTAACCTCTTCAGTACAGCCTACCCAGGTGTCTGCAAAAGAGTTTTAAATAAATTCTACAAAATACCTCAAAACTGACTATCATTGAGCATGTTCAGAATTATCCTTTCCAACTCAGAAACAATACAATTCCAAGGCCATTAAAAAAAAACAAAACCAAATCACAAAAACTCCAACAAATGCACACAAGATATATCAAAGTTAAACCTCAGGGCTGAAGTTTAAATTAACGAAGTAAAAAAAAAAAAAATCAGAATTAAAGCTATTCAGAAACAGGTTCTCAAACTTGAAATAAATTAATTGTTTTAAATAAAGAAGTATGGGTCCCTTTGCTAGGGGATTTACCATAGAAGAGTTTCAATATGCTATGCTGGCTTTGTTTTTTATGGACTCATAATCATAAAAGGAGTATCTTTTTACTATCATGGAATGTGATCTATCTGTCACAGCTGTACTACAACACCCTCTGGGACAGTAGACATTGACCTGTTACAAAATTTTTGGTCAATATTAATCCAAAAGGATCTTTATTTCTCTAAAATAATGTAAAACTCTTTGACTTCTACTAGTTCCTTTGCTTGATACATGAATAATTTCTTGATTATCTCAATAGGTTGCAATGTAGAAAAAAATCTGCATTTTTTTATTGCTATTTCTTTTCCTTTAAGCAGAGGCCATGATTTCATCTTTCCTGGAAAACAAAACCCAGGAAGTCCTTTCAACTTAAAACAGTGTAATACCTTAAAATAATGAGTATCAAATTATTTGCTGCAATTGCATTTAGCCAACCTTTAAGTTGAAGCACAAACTATTTTAGCTTAAAAGCGGAGAAAAATCTGGCAAAATGGATTGTTAGATTTCCTACAATTGGCAGACACAGGAATGCCTAATTACATGAGATCTGTAGTACATTACAGATTGTTTAGTAAGTGTTTTAAATCCCACACCTGCCAGTCATATAAATAAGCTTAGTGACACAGGTTTTACATGGAAAACAGATTTTACTACTACACGTGCAAGGCAGGCACATATGGCAGAACTAGAGCAAGGACTGTAAGTGAGAAAACACATTCACTGCTTGGTTCATGACTTAAGAAAAAGACAAAGGATGAAGTTTTTACGCAACTGAAATTACTACTTAAACTTCTAATGACTTCACCACCGCCAGGACTTCACCTGCAGTTTCTAAGTTCTACTGAAAATCTTGCAAAATACCAAAAGAAGAAAGAAATGGAATACGATTAGGAAGCCAATTGCTTCTCTCTGAATAAAAAATGGTTTTCTAGGAATAAGGTAAACATTGATTTGTTTGGTTTAACAGGGGCCTACAAGTGATTATTCAACAGAAATAAAAAAATGGCAGGGGTAATTTAAATCACACATATAAAGTTAATGACAGGAAACTTTCCTACAGAATGGTGCACTCAAGATGCCTGGGAAAACACCACCCCTCAGTAAGTAAGCACTAATTTTTGAACCTTGTCCTATTGTTTAAATTATTTTAGTCATCGTCCAAAGCAGAAAATGCATTTCTATATATGTTTGTTTGGAAGAAACACTAAATCATTTGTAAAAGTATTACCTCTCTTTTACATTATATTTTGTAGGTAAAAACCTGAAAGTGCAATATTATAAACAATATTTGCTCACAGCTTTAATGTATGACCTAATTTTAAATCTGGCTGGCATGAACTCATGTATAAATACACACTTTTGATAATCTGCACAATCTTCCAGAAAACCAGTATTTGTAAAATATAACACACAGTACTTCTTTTGGAGG